AAACTGCATTTGGAGGCACGGTCTGTGTATTTGAACATCTCTCGCAATTTCCGCGAGCCCGAAGAAGCCACAAGAACAGGGGCATGCAAACGCTCGCATCTTCTATGAAGCCAAACATGACATAAATAATCTTTCTCGCCAAATGGAAACCGGGTAAACATACAGTATTCTATAAAATTGTTTCCGCCCCGGGCCAAAGACCGCCCATCCTGAGCTTTAAAGACCCGTATGCAAACTGCATACGGTGTAGTACGTCGTGGCGTTGGGAGGGGCGTCGGGGTCGGGAGCCGGATTCGCGGCCGGGTGATGGACACCTCATGGGGGAGGCGAGGGTCTTGTAGGAGGCCGAAATAAAATAAATAACCGTAAAGAAATTAGTGTAGACAGAGCCGAAACATGCACCCACTAGAAACTTCCTCTCCACAAGACGTAAATAACTGGTTTGTGCAATTACATGAAAGCTATTTCCGTTGTCTTCGAGTCCCGCTACACATAATATATATATTTACCAAATCTACTAAAACAATTACAATTAATTCTTAAAATGTCGCCGTGATGGCTATTTATAACAATTAAACCATAGTGGTGACCAAAATTTTGCTAATGTAATATGGAAGATACGGAACGTGCGAGGAATGACACCGCCTCGTTACGCGTTGTGTATATTTTCCAAGGTACTATAATACAAAGAACGTAGGCAACCTAAATTACTGCTTCCAATTAGCAAACATAGCAACCACCAAAAATGAAAGCCGGACAAAATATTTACATCGGATTTGTTCGGTTGACGCGTTTCGCACCATACGCGTGAAAAAACTTCCCACATTTTAAAAATTGTAATAGATTTTGATTTCTACTCAAGTACAACGCAATGACGGGTTTTCTTCATCAGCTATTGCTCACAGCATTTAAACAAAGCCGCCAACTCTAAGTAAAAATATATTCCAAAGACACGTATAATTTACAAAAAATAAAAAAACCATTGACACCACAAAGATTATATAAATTAATATTCCCTAAAAAACAATAAACAGTATCAATATACATTAAACCTCTGTTAAAATAAATGAAACGAACGTACGGTAACTCCAGCTCGGATCGCGACATGTCCGAAGGAGAAACCGCTGCTATTCATAATTGGATGACAGGTCACATATAGAGTAACAGGCGCGATATAGTGGAATACCCAGCTCCTGAAACAACGTACCGATAATCCCACTTAACAGCACATACCGTCAAACTGCGGAAACAGACAGCTACAATGGTTAAATACCGCAACGTCATAAAACTGTAAGTCCAAATATCGTGTCTCTGGCAACGCGGGTATAGGTCAGTA